GATCGCTTGAGCCCAAAAGTTTGAGGCTGAGCTACGACTCCATGGCACTCTACTCAGGGCAAAAAATGGACCCTGTTTCAAAAAAAGGAAGGAAGGAAGGAAAGAAACTGAAGTCATGGCCTACAAATTACCCCCAACTAATGGGCAGTTCATTGACAACAATTCTGTTACCTGGGCTGGGCTTCAGTTTTCTTCCACATCAAAGGCACTGGTGAGATACTCCTTTGGAACAATCCCAATGAAGCTGTTCAGTTCTCCTACCCACCAGCCATACATGTTATACTCCTGAAAAATGAAAGGAAGACAGCTCCAGTTGGAATTTGGTCAAGCTTCTGTTCATGTTACATGTTACAGTGAGTGCATGGGAGATTCTCTTGGGTGCTTTTTTTGTTGGCATGATCAGAATGAACTGTTAACATCCTGATGGGATTAGTAAATTTAAAAGTCATCTGGAAGAAGTATTTTAAAAGAAATGTTTTCATTTTGACATAGTCTTAACTATTATAAACATAGCACATTTGATGACATTGTTGGACCTAAAGAGCATTTTTTTCTAAACCAAGTAGAATGGTATGGCTTCTTCAGAGAAAGCTGGGCATACACTAAAGTGCCAGGACACTAAAGATATTCAGGGAGTCAGGTCATAGTTCAAATCAATAATATTTATCAAGCATCTTCTATGTGCAAAGTGCTATTTGAGTTCCCATGAGGTATATAATGATGAATCAGAAGATTGCTTGCTCCTTGGGAGGGTATAGCATGGAATAATGGGCTTTGGAGTCAGACAGACTGCTATCTAATCCCCATTTGGTCATTTAGTAGCCATGTGACCTTAGGTTCTCTTAGCTTTAACTTCCTCATCTGTAAGAGCAGCTGTAATATCTCCCCTCCTTTGTGCTGTGGAGATGTGACACTGCCGAAGGGAAAACAACTGAAAGTGTCTGACACATAGTAGGTACTCTAAACATTAGTCTCTTTCCCTGGAAGAGGTGGGAGGTTGACAGGTACATCAAAAATGACAGGCAGGAGGCCAGGCATGGTGGCTCATGCCTATAATCTCAGCACTCTGGGAGACTGAGGCAGATGGATTGCTTGAGCTCACGAGTTTTTGCAAAGAACTATTAGTCTCCACTGCATATCTACTTCCCATTTCTACTAGTCTACGCCAACTTACACTTCACACACTTACTAGAAAAATTTACTTATGCACTACCTCAACGTCTTCCTTTCTATTCACTCTTCAAGCAGCTCTGTTAGGGCTTTACTTAACACTCTTTCCGTGCTTGCCTATATAACCTTCTCATTGATCAGATTCTCTGGGTACTTCTCAATCTTTAACTTACTTGATCCCTCAGCAGTGCTGGGCATAATTGACCCTCTTTTTTTTTGAGACAGAGTCTCACTTGATCACCCTTGGTAGAGTGCCATGGCATCTTAGCTCGTAGCAAGACTTAGCTCAAACTCTTGGGTTCAAGCGATCCTCTTGCCTCAGCCTCCCAAATAGCTGGGACTACAGGTGCCTGCCACATATCCGGCTATTTTTTTAAAGAAGGGATCTTGCTCTTGCTCAGGCTGGTCTTAAAACTGTGAGCTCAGGCAAACCACCCGCCTTGGCCTCCCAGAGTGTTAGGATTATAGGTGTGAGCTACAGCTCCCGGCCTCATGGCTGTTGTATTCTCAGCATTCAATAGTATACCCAGCAGATGGGAAGCTGAGGTGGGTGGATTGCTTGAGTTCAGGAGTTCACCCTATGCAAGAGTGAGACCCCCCATCTTTACTAAAAATAGGAAAACTAGCCAGGCCTAGTGGTGGGCACCTGTAGTCATAGCTACTTGGGAAGCTGAGTCAAGAGGATTGCTCAAGCCCAGGGGTCTGAGGTTGCTATTAGCTATGATGCTATGGCACTCTACAGGCCAACAGAGTGAGACTCTGTCTCAAAAAAAAAAGAAAAGAAAAGAAAAGAAAAAATACTATACTCAGCAGAGACTGGGGCCAAATAAATACTTGTTAAATGAGGTTATGATGAAATGAAGGAGGCTATGGGAATTTGTACTCTCAGTTGAGCAGAGTTAGTTACCACTAATGCTTAGATACTCTCTTGGTGATTGAACTGGTTGTGGCAGAAAGCGATCAACTGCCTTTGGAGATAGTCTACCCAAATGGCTCCCTAAATACTGAGAAGAATCTCAAATGACACAAGAATTAAGACTGATCCTTTTAGGACCAGACAATTGCTTTCAAAAAAATAGGTCTTTTCTTTTTTTCACCTACAGCTCTCAGAGTTTCACCTACAGCTCTCCATAGAGTGCTGTAATGTCACAGCTCACAGCAACCTCCAACTCCCGGGCTTAGGTGCTTCTCTTGTCTCAGCCTCCCAAGTAGCTGAGACTACAGGTGCCCACCGCAATGCCCGGCTGTTTTTTTGTTGCAGTTTGGCCGGGGCTGGGTTTGAACTGGCCGCCCTTGGTATATGGGGTCGGCACCCTACTCACTGAACCACAGGTGCCACACTAAAAAAAATCAGTCTTAAATGATTGAATTTGTCTGCCCACCACCTCTTCCTACCGCACACCTTCCCGTTCCTTCCCCCAAGGCTAGCTTCTGCCTTCTGGGAAATTACCTGGACTCCCTTGGCTATGCTTGTCAGGATGTTTTTAATCTCTTCTTGGTACAAGTTATGTTACTGTCCATTTTTCAACATTGAACTTGGGGAAGTTACTGCCTTAAGTTTTCTTGCAGTGTTCCCTTGTGTTTACTGAGTTGCCAGAATGTCCATATCTATAGGTCCTGCTGTGAAGGGGAAATACACACTCTGTCTTCCTCTCTTACTGTAACTCATAAAAACTGGCTTTAGTTCTTCTGCTGTTTTACAGAGGATGAGCACAATGTTGTCTGACAGTCTTTCGATCCAAATCAACTTGCTTAAACATGTGTGAAATGTGTCTACCCACCAGATGCTGTCATCTTTCATCACCTACAGGGGATGGGATAAGGTATTTGCTCCCAGGAGACAGCTTGAGACCCCAGACTTTGACTCACACTTTGCCCCATTCCCCCACCCTCACCCCCTTAGCTGTAATGTCAGGAATAGGGACTAAGCCTTGGGAAGGTGCTGTCTGCCAACTTGAAAAGGGAGCAAACAGGAAGCAGATGAGGCTCAGCAGGGCACCTGCAAAGGCTGGGCTCCCAGTCTGTTTGCTCTTGCTCGAGGGGAACACTGACCCTGCCGACTACAGATGTAGTAGCTTCACCACAGTGGTAAGAACTGAAATGAGTGAAATCAACTCTCTGCCCTTCAAAACAAAAAAGCAGACAGAAGTGTAAGGAGGATGGCACAGTCTCAGAGACCATATGTATCCTGCTGTGGGAGCCTGGGAGCTTAATCAAAGCACCTACAGGTCCTGGGATCTGACTGTCTTTTCCAGATTTCATCCCTTGGCTGGATACCCAAAAAGGGCTGCAGGGTTGAGATGCTTAAAGCATGAATGGAAAATTTCTAGCTTTCTCTCCCACTACCACCCCCCATGCATAGCTTTAGCCCAGTCTGAACACCACGAGGTATTTTAAAATAATTTCTACTTTGATGAATTGCCGGGGAGTCCACAATTGCTCATAATCAAAGGGAGAAAAATGCAAATGAGATCCGGCCGAGAACTATCACCACCAAACGTTTATTTCACTGCACAGTGCCAAAAAGAATTAAAACAACATTAAACTCACAGCAATCATGTTTAAGCCCTCGTTTCCAAGTGCCAAATTGCACCACTCTGGATCATACAGATGTTCGTTAATTATGCTAATTTTTATTAAACTATTAAAATGGAGAGAGTACTGGCTCAGCCAGGCAGACCTCAGCTCTGAATGAACTCTGCTCTTGTCTAAAGGTACTAATTTACTGCATTTTTATTAAGTTGCTGATTCTTGGATTTTAGTTTTAGGACAGCAAAGAGAACTAAATTTCTGGGATCAATGTTTTCCATAAAGTCTGACTTCTCTTTGCCCAGATGTTTGGAAAGAGTAGCAAATGCTGAGAGGTTCCCAGGGGAACTGAAATCCCTGATATGGAAGTGTTTCTCCCTGTAAAGTGGGGATACATACCTACAAGTGGCAATGTTAGGGCATAAGTATAACGCATGCTTCCCACTCCATAACTGTATAGTATATGCTGTAAATGATACAGCTACGATATTAATTATATGAAACTGTTAAATGAAGATGCTTTAGATAAGAATATAAACAACTATTTTTTTCACAATCTGATAGAATGTTTATATTTACATGGTACATATTAAAGCAATGGCTACGTTTAAACAACTATTAAAAAAAAAATCCCTTCACATCCATGCTTACTTCTTGCCACAAAGTCTTTTTAGGAGCCTTTGACCCAAAACAAGTATGGCATGTGGTTTGTTCTCATCATAAATATTTTTGGGCTTGATTAAATGTCTGTATCTCTCAACATCAACCGCGCCCCACCTCCTTGAGCTTCTTCCCCCAAACCTCCCAAATAAAGAAATCTTAAATTTGGACTCCATTATCAAGTTGGAGAAGCTATTGGCCTAGATGAGCAGAACATTGAGTGAACCTGAAATAGATGCAGTGCTCATCATCAGCAACAATCAGAAGTGTTTGTGGGGGATTGCACATTGCCATAAAAGGATTTATGTGGCTAATCTCCATCAACAAGGAAAAAAAACCACCCTACCAAACCTGCCATAAAAAGAATAGCAAATTCTATAAACAAAAAGCAGTATGGCCACCAACATCGGGCATGTCACACAGCTTGACTCTGCCTCCAGTGGTTTCCTATTGCTGTTTATGGTTTCAAGACTATCATGGACCTCCTCAGTGCTCCTCCTGTCACAGGGCCCTGAGTCCCTGTGTGGTGCTGCAAATACCCTGTCAGTAGGTGTCAGGGGATATCAGGGGAAAACCAGCAGGCGCCTATCATAAGCCTTAAAAGAGATTAAATACCCCTACTCCATGATTGCTACATTTTAATTTCTCTCCTCCCTGCTGGTTTCTATTTGTATAAGCTCTTCCATGGCTCCCCTGGAGTAACACAGACATGACCTGGAATGACCATCCTGTCTTGGGATGAGAATTCAATTTCTAGGCTCAGTGAATCCTAGGCTGTTCCAACAAAAGGAACTCACCATCCTCTAGGGCACAGATGCTTAAGCTGGAGTCTGTGAATCCCTGGGTTGTCTATGGATGGATGGGAAGGGATCTTTGAACTCCCTAAAACTGGTGTAAAATTTTGTGAGTATAGTATACATAGGGTG